AATTGAACTATATTCCTGTTTATATATCTCTGAGGCTTCTTAGCCCACATTTTTGTCTTTCTGTATTATTCTATAGGGACTTGTCACAGAATAAATAAAGCATTATTATTATATAAGGGGCTATAAAAAAAAATCGATTATTTGAAGTTTAAAATAAAACTCAATTAAAAATGCGGGATATGAACTGAATATGAAGATGAAAATGAAGATTTGAAGAGGAAGGTCTGTAATAAGCGAATACCAAGGACAGCGGTAGTATGCGGTGGTGGATGCCGAAGAAGGTGGTTCTTCACCGAACCGCTGACCGCAGGTTTCGCCGCATAATGGCACCGAAATTGGCCATTATCTGGAAAATGGTGAAGACATCCTTAATCGTGTAAGTTGATGGAACCAAAATAGCCTACACGTTTGGTATTCGACCAATATTCTGACTGATTTCGTGGAACTATCTTTGCACACGCTTATAAGAAGTGGTTTGGTTTTTCTTATACACTTGCTCAACGGATTTCAATTGATCATTTATTTGAAAGATTTGCGGTTTGAAGAACCCAAATTTTTTAACTTAATTTCTTCATACCACATCAATTTTGGTATGAGCTAAATAAAATGTGAATGGATGTTATATTATTAATTATTTAAAGAGTACAAAAGCCTTACAAAAAATACAAAAAACTACGGTACGTGCTTTAGACCACACGAAAGAAGTAAAAATATCAACAAAGTAAAAATATCAACCATTATTATTAATAATAATAATAATAATTGTAATAAGTAATATATGTCATTAGTAGTAATAACATTTTACACATATACAATTATAATAGTATATAAACTACTCTGGTAAACTTTGTATCATATTGATTGATACTGACTGATTGAATCATACTCTAAAATTTATTATTTTTACGACTAATTAAAAAATATGATCTATATTGACTTCTGCCAATTGATTTCCATCGTATTTATATTTGTAGATATTTTAGTCGAAATGTTCAAAACAGTCCTTATTATTTGGTTTTTATTTTTTTTTTACTGGCCACTTATTATGTTTTATATTATTACATAGGAGGCAGAGGTTCGAATCCGGCTGATGTCAAGTATCATTATTCATGGGAGTGAGAGACCCTCCTGGGCATACACAGCCTCTATAAATTGAGTAATCTTAATTAAATAATCAATTCAGGAGAAAAACCTGGCGTTTGAGCGTGATCTTGGCCCGATCATCTCCCTGCTCAACCGTTAGCCTTGAGAAAGTACTTCCTAACAAAGTACTGAACCTAAAAACCTTATTGGTAGTGGTCCAGGTTTTTTTTTTATTATTACATTACGCGGTCATTCATGTGTTCATATAGATGGTTGTACAGTGAACAGATTTTTACAGTATCATGTCCATCTACTAGGTTTTTCCAATTAAAGATACACAATTATAAAGGCTGAGTGTGCCCCAAGAGTGTCTCTTAATTTCACAATACACAGAAGATATAATATAATAAATATTCATGTGCAGATTTATCAGAATCTGCACTAGAGAGATAAAAGAACAATGCTTCACTGAGGAACCGACTACAGTATAAATAAATTAATTTAAGCCGAGATATAATTTTACAGTAACCATACGCTTAAATTCCTCAGTTTTCGCCTGAGTGAGCAAGACAAAGGATTATCAGAAAAACTTCCTGCTCAACATAACCAAAAGGATTTCTAAAGAAGAGGTAGAAGCTATCCGCTTATAATAAGCTATAAAAAGGCGCCTTAGAAAAAGGAAAATTACTTTCGCCATATAATCGCCGTAAGCGGCTAATGGCTTTGGGGTGTAAGAAGTAAAAGCGTTCTTCTGTAGGTGAGGAACACTCCACGGCGGTCATTGTTCCCGGAGCAACCGGGAGACCTCAACGCTGGGTCAAGAAACAAGCTTTTTATCCAACGCACTTTTTATCCTTACTACAACAGCCAAGAGGTTAATTCCTTCTTCACTTTGGATACGCTTTGATGAAACGTAAGTTTTGAATTAACATATTTTTTTTCTTAAACTTTTTTTAAGCATCGCATCTTATCGTATAGCATCTTTATGTTATTTCTTAAAAGTGTTTTTTTTTTTTTTTTTTTGGTCAGTACACCATATCTTCGTGCATTCTTCCTCGTATCCAATGATTGAGGCACCATTTTGAAAGTTATATCGTCCGTTAACTGCAAAAAGCCTCTAAGTGCATTTTTGATATATTTTACTTTCAAATTTGGGTGATAATAGTCAGGATGCAATCATTTTTAAGGTTTTCGTTGGTGAAGGCGTTTTAACCCAAGCATGTGGGTCATCATCAGGGACCTTTTTTTCTATAAACATAAAATTATTTATAAGACGAGATAAATCGTTCTTATTATAAGAAGTAGTTTTTCTTTTAAATTTATATTACATGCTTAAGATGAAGAAGTTTAATGTTCTAAATAAAGTTTTTGGTTAGTTTTTATGAATATATCCGAAGTCAAAATTAACCGAGAAAGCTCAAAACTGCACATTTTTTTTTTTTTTTTTAAGCTGCTTTATTGAAAAATATTACAATCTGTCTCAAGGACATTTATAATAGTGTTCACAGATCACATTTTTTTTATTTATTTATTCAGTACTATAACAATCTGTCACTTGGACATTAATTATAGTAAGATAGGATAACATTCACACTATATGTACAAAAACTATAAAATAAATATAAGAAAAATAACAACAAATAATAATCAAAAAGATCACATTTTAATTAAATTGTATTTACATGATTTTGCAGTGTGGCAGTCGATGCAGGCTAGACAATGTGTCGCCCTATTTCAATGATTGGTTTTATCTTGCATCGATAATTGTTTTTATATTTCGTTGTAGAACGGAATCGCTCACTTGAAGCGTTCAGCCGTTGAATACATGGATACATTGAAGCAACGATTAATATATTTAATACTACCTATCTCTCTACTATTAATTCTCTACCTATCAAAATTCGGCATTCCCCCTCCATATCCACATTCAAATCCCTCCTATTCTAATTTCTATCCCAAAAACAGTCAGATACTTGCTAAAATTTTGATATTATACATTTCTTGTCCATCATCAAACGATAGTACTATTCTATACTGTGAACTTCACTAGGGATATTACAATATCTTCCTGCTCTTAATGCCACTGACCGCATCTATTGTTTGTTTGTTTTTTTTTTTTTGTTTTTTTTATTCGTATATAATTAAATCTGTACCATTTGACAATGACGAGTCTACATATTATTCATTATTTAAATACAATGACATTTTATTACAGCTTTGTCTTTTCTTTGTTAGCAAAAACACACCTCATTTTAAAGAACAAATCAATGTATTCTTTATTATTTTATTTTTCAAAACAGTATAATTATAATGTTTCCTACTGTACATAGTCTTAACTGTTTTATCATAGTTTTTAGTGTTTTTATATAGATTTTTTTTTTTTTTTTTTTGTATATAGCTTGTTTAACGAATATTTTCTTTGATGATGTAGAGATGGTTGACCGTTGATATAATATAAGAAGGGGTTAGTCGAGGGTGCGGTCAAATAAATAATAAATTAAAATATATTAACTATTTTAATTTTTGCCGACGTTTCGACCCACTTTGCAGGTCGTCTTCAGGACTACAAAAGATACAAAACATGTTGAAAATAAAAAATAAATATAAGTATATATAAAATAAGAAGAAGTTGTCAGATACAGAAATAAAAGATGGTATATCAGAGATATAGTGGGTATATATCTCTGATACCCACTATATCTCTGACACAATTTTTTATTTTCAACATGTTTTATATCTTTTGTAGCCCTGAAGACGGCCTGCAAAGTGGGTCGAAACGTCGGCAAAAATTAAAATAATTAATATATTTTAATTTATTATTTATTTGACCGCACCCTCGACTAACTCCTTCTCATAATATTTTCTTTGCTTTCTCTTTTTTATTATTGTTTTATTTTGGCCAGATATAGTATTTTCATTATGTTCTATTTTGTTATTCTAAAGGGACTTCGTCCCAGAATAAAGTTATTTTCTATTTCTATTTCTACCTCCGGAGAAAAGGAAGACATCATTCACTTTTTTGATGCCTGCCATATCTATAGCGATATCAGAGAAGAATATTTTGGTAGACAGGCTTGTACTCCTCAAGAAATATTTAATTTACTGAAAGGTACTACCTTTTTTTTTTTTTTTATTTCTTTATGACATTTACAACTTTATTACATAAATACATCAAGTAAATTTAGACATAATTGATGTAATGACATGAATACACTTGCTGAGTAACTACCCAATGGTAGCACTCTAATGATATGACTACATTAGGAGATCACGGGGCCATCTTCTTTTCAGACGCCTCGGAGGGTTATCAGGAATTGAAGAGGAAGCAAGGTTAGAAACGAGAGGGTTGGGATGATTCTGAAGTTTATTATGGAAGGATAGGTATCTGGATTGGGCCAGATCTGAAACATAAGGAACATTAAGATCTTTATGGATAATTTTATTAGTGACAAAGTAAGGAGCATTGAGGATTTTACGAAGGATTTTGGATTGTAAGGATTGGATGCGAGAGGAATTCGATGGTTTAGTGGAGCCCCATAGCTCAACTCCTTAAGTCCAAATAGGTCTTATTATAGTCAAGTATATGAGTCTTTTGTAATTAATGGGAAGTTTAGAGCGTTTGTCTAGTAAGTGCTGAAGTAATCGGAAACGTCGAGCGGTTTCTTGTCGTTTCAGTCTAGTATGAGGATTCCAAGTTAGTCGTTTGTCCAGGTGGAGTCCTAGGTATCGGATTTGCTCAACAGGGATACGTGGAGTATTGTTAAAGGAAACTGTGGGACAGGAAGTCGTTGGTACTACCTGGAAAGCTCTAAGTAATTATATTATTATATTGTCAAATTACATTTGATACGAGGGGGGGCGTTATTCGTAGGGGCCAAATATTTTTTGACAATTTTTTCTTTTCCTTTGCGTGAACTATGAGACTAGATAAGCCGCTGGGACTGCTTTGCATCGGATCTAACTCGGACCAGATTAGATTTACATTCGCCCACACTCACCTTCCTCTCTCTAGTCAATGTCATCATCTGCTAAGACACCCACGCTCGACTTCCACTATCTTCCAAGTGGTATGGCTCTATTGCGCAGCCGCACTAGAAGAGATAAGGAAAAGAAAAAGAAAATTGAACGTCTTTAAGACAGTGTACTTCAAGAAGATAGACCAAGGATGGGCCGATAAAGAGACAGGTGTGGGACGATTTGTTTTTTGGTGGGTGTCACCAAACTTAAATCAGACCTTGTTCCTTCCCTTTATTTAAATATTCTTTGTGTACAATAAAAAGTAAAGTAAATTTAGAAAGTTTTTTTCGATGACTTTTTTCCAAAGTAAAAAAAAAATTAAAAAAAAAATTCATGTCCATTGGTTATACATACCCCATGTATCTATCTATCTATGTATATAATAATAATAATAATAATAAAATAAGTTGCTTTCCACGGAAATGGATTTCTGGAGAAGAAGCTGTGGCATATCTAGAATGAAGCGGATCCCAAACGCAGCTATTAGAGACAAGGTCGGATGTCAAAAGAACATCCCTCATCTGATCGGGACCAAACGGTTAAAGTGGTATGGCCACTTAATGCGGATGGATGAGAACCGCTGGCCAAAGAAAATTTATAACTATATGCCACCTGAAAGAAGGAAGCGTGGAAGGCCAAAGAAGAAATGGATAGAGGACGTGGAGGAAAGCATGGCAGCCAGAGGGCTTCGTGAAGGAGATTGGATGGACAGGGAGCAGTGGCTTTTGGGTGTTGGGGATATGACTCTTTAAGTTGTATAAAACCCAAATATAAAAAAAAATATATATATATATATATATAGCTTGTTTAACTAATATTTTCTTTACTTTCTCTTTTTTATTATTGTTTTATTTTGGCTAGATGTAGTATTTTAATTATGTTCTATTAAGGCACAGGTGGATCTACGGGAGGGGGAGCGGCTTTCGGGCTGAAGCCCCCACCATAATGGTAAAATATAATCATGTTTTACAGAAACAAATATTAAAATCTCTTAAAGTTTTCTTCTTAGTGTAATTACATTTAATAGGACTTCAAGAACCACTTGAACACCATTTCATATAGGTAGTTAATTTCTTTCTTTTTTTTTTCAAATTAATTATCGCTATATATATATATGAAAAAAATCTTCCGGGCTGAAGCCCCCCCCAAAATTAATTCCTGGATCCGCTAGTGATCTGTGGTTAGTGCAACCCCTCTCCAGGATCCTCCATAAGAGGCAATATAAATGACAGTGGAAAAAGTGTGTTATAGCTTGTTTTTCACTGATTCTGCCATTTTTTTTTTCATTTTTTATCTTAATCTGTTTGGGAGATACGATCTTTTTTATGAGTCGGAACGTTGTTTGGAAAAATTGGTAAAATTTATTTAATGTTTATAAATCAGGCAGGTTTTTGTGTGATTTCTTGATTATATTTAGCTTTGTTAATATAATTACTATGGGTTACGTGTAATTGGCAAGGTATACAGTACCAGTACTAAATTTTTTTTTTACTTCAATAATCTATTTATTGAATAATAACACAATCAGCCACTGCTGTAGGGCTATAAGTATTAGGGCTAAGAGTTCTTATTCATACAAATAATAGAGAAATAAATATAAACATAAAAAGTAAATAAATAATACTGATGAAGAAAGTAAATAGAAGAAAAAAAAAATTAAACAAATAACATAACATAGAAACTTCTAAACACAATCATACCTATATACAATATATACATCACCCAGGAATCTCTGTGCCAGGCTTTTTCCCCAACATGTGGAAGGCAAAGCAAGACGCCAGGAGATCCCAGTGCCACTTTTCCAGCCTCATCACTTGTATCCAGTATTAAAATAGGTATATTTCTGAAAACTACATATTAAACTTTATAACAATTCAATGTTTGGCTATCCTGGGTTAAAAGTCAAAAATATAAAAAAAATCATTATTTTTGTGGTCGAACTTTCATTGAATGCGAAAATGTAAGCATTTGAAAAAAAACAATATATTCGTTGGTTGTATAGTAAAGGCGTAAAACCTGTTGGTCTTCAACGCCTTTAATTAAAATTATATATTATTATATCTTTTGGTTATGAATATTAAAAATTGGATAAACTTAAAAAAAAATAAGATGCACGTTAAGGTTAAAAGTTTTTTATTGTTATTAAAGTTTAGTTATTTTAAGTTCGCACGTTAGGTAAAAAGAAAAAGGAAACAAAAAAGTAGTGAGGAGAAAAAAAAAATGGTAAAAGGAAAACCCATTCTTCGGAGAGAAAAAGTACGATTTTGCCTAAATTTTTTCATTATTTCCCAAAGCAGCCGGTATTCCCAAGTAAGCAGTGCATTTGCTGGTATTCCCCTTATGTTTAATTGTCTAATGTAAAAGACACAACTCTCGAAGATATGGACCACAGTCATTCTCTCTCCACACTTCCGACAAATGGGTGGGTTTTCTTTCGTAATTAAGTGAAGGTAATATGTATAAACTCTACTTACTTATAAATTTTCTCTGGCCTTTTGGGGTACATTTTATATATATATATATATTATTACATATTTATTGAATATTAATACAACCTGCTACACTCAAGGGTAACAAGCATTATAGGAAAAAATATCCACTCATACAATATATACATATAACATAAATAAATTACGGTAACTAAAGAAAGAAATAAAAAAAATTCTTCTGAAGCTCATTCACATCTATATACAATATTTACATTTGCTCAAGAGACTCCGAGCCAGAATTTCCAAGTGTGGAAGGCAAAGCTTGCCTCCAGGAGGCTGCAGCGCTTCTCTTCCAGCCGCGTCACTGGACTGGACGCCAGTGGAGACTGGGAAAGAGCACTTGATAGGGCCATTGCCAGGACTCCATCGGGGGACATTTAAATAAAATGTTCTAAAATTACAAACCGAGTGTTTTTTGGTTTATTATTTTCAATAATGAACCATTGTGATCGACCAAAAAATTCAAAAACTTAACCTCCTCTCAAAATTTGAGGTTTCACGTTTCAGGATGCGTAGAATTCGAAAAACGAATATAAATTTGTTTGTCTTCGAAACTGCTGGACCGATTTTGATATAAAATCAGAGGTAACCCGAGGATGATCATCCTTCATCGACATTACTATACGCCTTTTACTTTCAAAGTGTATCAAATTCGTTTTCTCGACGCCCTTTAAATTTATCTATATAACATTCTTCAACGAAAAGAAGCTGGGAAAAAAGTTACGAGGGATGGTAAAATTAAATTCCGAATAACTCAAAAAGTCAATACTTTTTTGTTAATATTGTATATGTTTTTTTTAAAAGTTGTCGAAATTTCTTAATAAAAAAAAATCGTTAAAATCGGACTATTAGGAGCAAAGATATGGTCTCCGGTTTTTTTTTTTTTATATGTTCTTCTCCAAATGTTATATCCTTTGTTTAGTTTTTAAATTTTGAATGTGTTACTGAAGTAATGCTATTTTTTTTTTTTTTAGCATATTACTAATGATTAAGAAAAAAGTTTATTCCAATAATTGGAATGACCTTTTATTTATATTTCTTTGTAACTAGGAAGGTAATGTTACTTTAGATGTATAATTGTTTGGAAATAGTTAACCATTGTGAAATAATTTGCAGCGTTATTATATAAAAAATGATCATTTTTCAGGGATGTTTTTCATATTTTTATATCGATGTTAAATATATTGGTAGCCTGTATATTATCCCCTTGTCGAATCTTCTGCTAAGGTTTTGGCTAGCTCTAGACTGCCAGGGCTACTAACACAATATCCACCCAATAGACCATTGTATACTGTAGGGATAATGAAGCTGAACAAAGCACGTTCCTGAAGGACCCGTTCAAAGCGCTTCATTATCGACCCTAATTAGATTATCGATCCCTCCTATATTATACAACTCACTAGACTAATCCAGAGCCTCCTGTATTGCGCAATTTTCCGGGGAGCGAACGATAAATATTTAGATACGCGGGGCCCGCCCACACTCTCTTGTCTTTCAGTCGTTGAATAGATCGCTATGTCATCCTTATTTCGCGCAATGACCTCGTGCATTCGATCATAGATATATATTGTTCGATCGCGTAGCTTTGGGCGAATAAAACCTCCTTAATACTTCGATTGCATCATCGAATTACATATGTAACGAGGCACATTTATTATATATTCTGTTTCTATTTGAAAATTATTGCTTCCTAGAAATAATTAATTGAAGTTTTTGGATAAGACCATATTTATTTTAAGAGATACCTACCGAAACCATTTAAGTTTATCAGACTCAAAGAAGCAAGAAAACAAATGCACCTGCAAAAGAGCTACGGAAATATTTTACTTTTTTTTGCATAAACAGCTGGAAAAATGCTTAATAGTAAACTAGACAAAATATATTTTAAACGAAAGTAGATTTTATCATTGTTTTTTTATTTTATTTTATTTTTTATTTCTTAATGACCTTTACAACTGTATTACATAAATACATCAAGTAAATTTGGACAAAATAGATATAATGACATGAATACACTTGCTGAGTAACTACCCAATGGTAGCACTCTAATGATATGACTACATTAGGAGATCACGGGGCCATCTTCTTTTCAGACGCCTCGGAGGGTTATCAGGAATTGAAGAGGAAGCAAGGTTAGAAACGAGAGGGTTGGGATGATTCTGAAGTTTATTATGGAAGGATAGGTATCTGGATTGGGCCAGATCTGAAACATAAGGAATATTAAGATCTTTATGGATAATTTTATTAGTGACAAAGTAAGGAGCATTGAGGATTTTACGAAGGATTTTGGATTGTAAGGATTGGATGCGAGAGGAATTCGATGGTTTAGTGGAGCCCCATAGCTCAACTCCGTAAGTCCAAATAGGTCTTATTACAGTCATGTATATGAGTCTTTTGTAATTAATGGGAAGTTTAGAGCGTTTGTCTAGTAAGTGCTGAAGTAATCGGAAACGTCAAGCGGTTTCTTGTCGTTTCAGTCTAGTATGAGGATTCCAAGTTAGTCGTTTGTCCAGGTGGAGTCCTAGGTATCGGATTTGCTCAACAGGGATAAGTGGAGTATTGTTAAAGGAAACTGTAGGACAGGAAGTCGTTGATTTGCGAAGGGTTAAGGTAATCTGGTGAGATTTATTGGAGTTTATTTTAATTCTCCAGTTTTGACACCATTATTCTAGATGCAATTGCTGGGTCATTGTTTACTGATAGGATACATGTGTCATCGGCATATGTGGTGATGACAGTGTTGGGACAGTTAGGGATGTCAGCTGTATAAACTGTATAGAGGATAGGACCTAGGATACTACCTTGCGGAACACCAGCGGACTGGGAAAAAAGGGATGAATAGGCGTTTGTCATTGTTAAAACTATTTAAAGAGAACTATTGGGCGGGCAAATACAGGTAAATTCGTTTTTAAAAAATCATCACCTTTTTTTATCGATTTTGTGATCAAATTATATTGCGATCCAATTGGAAACCAAATGAATACGAGTTTTTAGTACCTGATCAAGACAAAGTTTGCCGACCTCCAAATTGAAAACACCCCAATTCCGAGAATTTTTGTAAATAAAATATTTGTAGATTACGATTAGACCAATATATTTACGAAGTTTCAGGGAATATTAATAATTTGATAAAAATGGGTCTGTACCATACCTATTATACCTATTATATCATACCTACTTTTGATGAATAATTTAAAAAAATTCTTAAGAAAGATACTTGAGTATTTTAAAAAAAAATATAATTCCTCAGGTAGAGGAGTGAAGACCGATTTTGAAATTAAACTTATTTTCATATTACTTTCGTAAATATTTAAGTTCTTTTTTTAAGATAAATATTTGCAACATCGGATTCATTGGGTGTTTTTGCATAGCAACGGATAGTTTTGAAATATCCTAGCAACTCCAATAAGATTTTTTTGTTTTTTTCATCTAATCCCAAGAAGAAATATGGTTGCTCTGTGTTGGATATTGTTTAGCAACTCCACCTTTATTAAACATACTGTTAAGATATTACTACTGTTATTATATCACATCAGGATCATATATGCTTGTTCAAAGACTGATTATAAACTAAATAAAGAAGTAATAATTGAGTATAAGACCGGACGAAGCATGAGCAGGCGCAGAAGAGAAGCGAAAGAACTCATTATCCAGAGAGATAATAACGATACGGCCTGATACAGATCCCTGGCTCCATCTGTTAATTACTTTATAATTAACTCTCGTCCTATTAACTAACTCTTAATGATCCGCTTCAAAGGTTGAAACAGATTTTGACTTCGTTGAAAGGTTTGATCTAGGCTTACATAGTACACACATCTTACTATTTTATTGCTTGTGTAAACAAACTTATGAGTAAACATGTAAGGAAAAATCATGACTGAACTGAGAGTTTCCAGTAAGTTGATGAGATTGAAAAAGTAAATTCCTAATACAAGAAGAACTATTTGAAGCCTTCAAAGTTCGAACGGGCTTACGGCAGTGAGATGGATTATCACTGATGTCTTTCAACTTTGCCCTGTTTAAGGTTATAAAAACAACATCACAGGAAAATGGAGGGATCCAAGTTGGAATTATTTATAAAATCATTTGATACACAGATGATATAGCGTTCCCTGGAAGTAAGCAAGAGAACATTGATAAACTCGCAACGACTCTGATAAGAGAAGCAGAGCAGATCGGCCTATATTTAAATGAAGACGAAATAAAATATATAATAATAAGCCGAAGATTCCACCCCAATAACAGGATCTCCGTAGAAGAAGAACCATTCCCGAGAGTAAAAAAATATCAAATATCTCGGCTCTACAATAATCTCAGTCAACGACAAACTGGCAGAAATAGACTAGCGCAAACAGAGCTTTCTTCTCCCTTTCAAATGTATTGGGAAATCTCAAATTGAGGGTGTACAATGCTATGATAAAGCCAGTTCCAAAATAATAGAGTAAAATGTCAGACCTGGACACTAAAAAAGAGTGTTGAAAGATTTGAGAGAAAAAATCTCCGCACTATAACCAGAGCGATCTGGGATAAGAGTAGTAACATATGTAGAAGAAAGAAAAGAATTTTTAGGATATTGATAGACCTGTTTACAGAAACAGGTCTATCAATATCCCATGATATGAAGGCATGGAGATTAAGATGGGCGGGGCATGTAGCTCGTAGCAATCCATCAGGAAGCTTCTACGTAACAATGAATGCCTCAATAAAAGGCAAAAGACCACGTGGAAGTCCAAAAAGCAGATGGATCGATTGAATCAACAATGATGCAATAGAGCTGCGTGCAGATAAATAGAAATAAATAGCCTAAGAAAGGCTGAGATGGAGCAAGCTTGTTAAGGCGGCAAAAGATATACATGGACTGTAATGCCAACAGAAGAAAAAAATATATATATATATTTATATAAAGAGAGATTAAACGTACCAGTAATCACTTATCAATTAATTAAAATGTAATAAGCTTTATAGGTCCAATAGAGTGCAAATACGATTAGAATCGAAGCTGAAATACTTGATAAGGTGATGTCTGAATCTCATGTGATACCTAGAACTTACCAAGCATTGGCAAATCTTAACAAAGAAAATCTTTAGATTCATAATTGGTAATTGATTGACTGTCGTGGATAATGAAGAGAAGAATAGTTGGGGTGGTCAGTTAAAAAGGAAAGCAAAAATAAATGATAATATTTATTTTTTACTTATGCCGACGTTTTGACCTGAAGTTCAGGCCTTCGTCAGGGCTAAGAAAATAACAAGATAACAAGGTATGAGAAACATAACTCTTTCATTCCTTTTCTCTGTTTTTAACTCTTTATTATATTATACATTGTCTGTACATCTTGATAGACTTTACAATATCTCAATTTTCTATCTAACTACTCCATTCTCAATGTTTTAATTTTACTATTTATTTTCATTTCTTATATAACTTTATATTTCTTTTTTATGTTTTACATTTTATTCTAAGATTTCCATTGTAACACTTTTGTCACCCCTTTTTGATTATGCCTACTTCATCATTCCACACTATGTAACAGTTTTTATTATTTATCTCTTAGTTCTTAGTCATTATTCTAACAATTTCATTTTACTTTATATTTATCTATTTTATTTTTCTAATAATTTTATTTTATTTTATTTTTTTATTTTTTATTATCTTTTTTACCATCATTACTTATGTTTCTCATACCTTGTTATCTAGTTACTTTCTTAGCCCTGATGAAGGCCTGAACTTCAGGTCGAAACGTCGGCATATGTAAAAAATAAATATTATAATTTATTTTTGCCTTCCTTTTTGACTGACCACCCCAACTATTCTTCTCTTCATTATCCACCACAGTCAACCAATTACCAATTATCATTTTACTTTATATTTATTTATTTTATTTTTCTATTTTTTTTATTTTTGTTATTTTTTTTACCATCACTACTTATGTTTCTCAGACCTTGTTATCTGGTTATTTTCTTAGCCCTGATGAAGGCCTGAACTTCAGGTCGAAACGTCGGTATATGTAAAAAATAAATATTATCATTTATTTTTGCCTTCCTTTTTGACTGACCACCCCAACTATTCTTCTCTTCAAAATCTTTAGATGTTCGAATACCTTCTAAGCATTAATGGACATAGCTTTATGAGAACTTTTTTATGAGATCCTTTATTCATATTTTCAGTTTGGACACTTAATCCTGAAACATCCTGTATAATAAAGGGTCCGAACCCAGAAGCATTTTGTGACTAAGTAAGCGGGACAGATTGGACTCTACCACGCATGCTCATGAAGAACAAAGACAGGAAACAGGAGGTGATCGCGTCCAATTTATTACCATCAGCAAGCCATCCTCCTGCAGAGCACTTCCGGGACACTACCATGGCGGAGGGTTACAACACAACAATTTAAAATAGCCTCGCTACTTCGACAATCGAATCTCTTCGAACTCTTTGAATTGAATAACGGCATTACGGTGTAATTAGAACAAACCAGCTGTGACAGATCCAGTCGGGTCTTATTCAATTATCGAACTGTTTCTCGATTTATTGTCACAAATCGAATCCAATTCTATTATTCAATCTCTTCATTGAAGGGAAATTTCTGCGATAAACGCTTCAAGTGGCAGGAAAAAAAAAAACTCACGAAAATTGTTACCGCATGTTATTTGAAGTACAAAAAAAATTTTCCTCTCGATTCCTTATAACCCTCCGAGGCGTCCGAAAAGAAGATGGCCTCGTGGACTACTTATGTAAATATATTATTAGAGTGCTACCAATGGGTAGTTTCTCAACAAGCGTTTTCATGTTATTGTATTATTACTGTGTGCACATTTACTGGTTGTATTTTTTTATAATACAGTTGTAAATATCAATGAATAAAAAAAAATATATATATATACATATATATATATATATATATATATATATATATATATATATATATATATTAAAACATCGATAAAGGGAGGAAATTTATTAACCACTGTGTTGTATTAAGGTGGCTAATTTTATTTCGTGGTGGACACACAGAATGAATCCAATGTGGTTAGAATATGTTTGGTTGACCTCTAAAACACTCTCCTTCTCTCCATCGTAGGTCTGAAATACCTAAGTAGTTAGTAAACCAAAAAAAAGAAAACTAAAAAAACAGTACTGACGTTTCTTATAACTTACTTATCTGTATGACATGTTGTAATGTATATAAAAAAAAAAAATAAAAAAAATAGTGACGTTTGGTCGAAAGTTAGGAATACAAACATGTGGTACACTTTATTTTCATAAGAGAAATTTTTTTTTTGTCTTTAAACATTTAAATTGACAATCAGCAAATGAGTTGACTATGAAATAAATAATAACATGTCAGACATGATGAAGGACAACACTTTTTTCTCACCTTTCTTGCCTGTTAGGTCCGGAGAGAGTTAAACGTCCCTTTACACACGCATAAGCTCGCTCGGCCACCCCGTCCTCTAAGGGACCCAGCAGCACATCTTTCCTGGGTTGAGTCAATAATTACTCAGATTGTTTAAGAAAGAAGATTTCCCATCCAGCGTCTTTTTAGTTTGTTTGTTTATTTAGGCTTTAAGGCGTAAAACTCTAGGATCATCAACGCTTGTGAGTCCGTTATATTTGTAAACTCTTTAGAAGAGAATTATTAATTAATAATAGATAGATTAATAAATGAAAAAGATATTTAAAAACATATGAAAAATGAAATATATGAAAATAAATATAAAGCAAGAAAGAACAATAAAATAAAAACTATATTTATTTTTATATTTTATTTAATAGCCTATGGATTTTTAGAAATGTTATCACTGTTTTTATGTTTGATTTGTTGTTGCTTAATACTGCTGATATATCCGATTTTAGAGACAATCGATTTAGGCTTGAAGTATAAGTGCATTCTTGGAAAATATGATTGACTGTGAGATGGCTATTGCAATGCTGACAATTCGGTGGTGGTTGCTTAGTGATGAGATGTACATGAGTTAGGTTCGTGTGTCCTATTCTTAACCTGGTCACGGCGAATTCCTCTCTACGAGCGTCTTTTTAGTTCCTCATATTCAGGGGTATGTCGGTAGTGGCCATGTCTATTATTATCCTCTCGTTATGTTCGTTTAAATTCGTATAAAATCGATGGTCCTCAAAGTGACCCTTTGGTTATTATATGTTGGTCAAATGTTGGTAGGTGGAAATCAGTGTGTATAGTTCTGTTTGTCACGTGCCATGGAGCTTTTATTATGAGTCGCAATAATTTCGAATTTAAGTTTTTGTAGATGGGTCTTTTTAGTAATACCATATATCTGTAATATGCAAAGAAGCTTAACCAATTTTTATTTTATGATTTCATTTTATTATGGTTAAAATACTTTCTGAAGTCCCACATTATAATTATTTAATATTATTACAGTCATCACGATTTTTTTTTACTTTTCTGAACCATTTTACAATAGACTCGACTATTGGTTAAGTGAAACAATGCTGTCTATTCGTAAATAGTACAAAATGGCAGCGATTTACTAGCATTATATTCAAATCATCGATATATTTTTTTAAAATAATTATGATCGATATTGCAATCGATTTCTCCTCTGTTGTGAATCGTCAGGCGCCATTTGCCGATGTAAGTGTCCAAGTGCGAGTTTGAAATCGTGGCCTCTTTTTTCGACCGCTTTTTTTTTTCTTTTTATGAAATGATATTTTATGCATCTTTGTAGTAATTCTTTTAATGACTTTGTTTTGCTTAGATTTTATTTTATGTAATGATCGCCGATAATTTCATTCTTACCAAAATAATATTCAAGAACTATTACTGAGTTAGGATTTCTCTTTTCTTTCTTTATTTTTATTTTACAATTGAATACACGACTCTAAAAAAAAAGTTGAAATAAAGAACTCGTTTTTATAAATCACATAATCTTAGCAATAGTGTGCATATTTATATTCACACACAATTAAAGTCGTTTAATGTTTAATGTTTGTCCATATTCATCACAAATATACGGTATCGCAAAAAAGACCCACCTACAAAAACTTCAAACGTTCCAATCAAAATTATTGCAACTCATAACAAAAGCACCTTGGTACGTGACTAACAAAACTATACATACTGATCTACCTCCACCTTCCAACGGTTGACATATAACATATAACATATAACAACCCTTTATCAACGATTTTACACTAATTTAAACGGATATGATAAGAGACATGGCCACAGCTGACATACCTCAGATCATGAGGAGGAGACTAAAAAGGCGTTGGATGAGGGATCTCCTTCCTTAGACAACCTAAGTAATTGGAACAAGTTAGGGAAGAGGTACTGCTGAGTACTTTCCTTCCCCATGCCTGTCATGTCATTTTATTATGCATCGCCATCACATTTTCTGATTGTCAACAATAAGTTGACAGGCGCAAATATATTTTTGATTGACAAAAAAAAAAAAATGTTTGTCGATTCAGTCATATGTTTCATTTAAAATATTACAAACGAAAGAACATTTTAAGATGCGCGCACCGAACCAGATTTTTTTATTTAGATATGAATTTTCAAAAATGGGCAAAAGTCATTTTCGGCGAGTTTAGATAAATATCATAAAACGGACTTTTTGGAAAATTATGAAACTCGTATATTTTATAAAACTCCATAATAAGGACTTAGGGCACAAATTTCGTGACAGACTCAATTAGTTACAGAGTTATTTTGTACCTAATATGTCTGGACATTGCGTTATTTAATCGATAAATCAGTACTCTGCAATATGAAATTACGGCACTGAATTGAATCTTTTGTATCAATTGAATATTTTTGTTTATCATTACACAAATTCTATGATAAGAACATATTTTTTAGAGAGAGAAATACTTTATTGAAAGTAGTGCTGCCCTACTACATAGGGTTGCTTTGCACACAGCATACCGATCAATCTATTTGGACATAATTTAAACATTACATTATTCTATTACTAATAACTACACCAAGTTCAATAAACTACACTGAGCCGTCAACATTGCATAACATACACATTAAAAAAACATTTTTTGAATGCTGAGAATCCAACACTAAATCTCACACACATATATCCACAACTATAGACAATAATACAAGACAATGCTAACAATTTAAAACAGAAGAAATGAATGATAAAAACATCCTTTTTTTTTTTTCTGTTTCTCCCTACCTCGCCTTTTAGGCTATATGGGATTTCCCCGGGCCGGGGGGTGAGGGCGAGGAATTTAAAATCCCCTCCGGCAACGTGAGGCGAACTCTTTTAAATCATCTCAAATCTGTAATCCGGTTGCCAGGCAACTCGCGGTGTTCTGGGTAATTTCAAATGGATTGACCCAGCTGTCATGTTCTGAATTCAGACATTTCAAGTGTTGTAGTAGCACAGGTTCTATATTTACATAATGGTACGTCTGTTACAGGACGATTAAGTGTTCAAATTAAATTAATTTTCCTGGGATAAAACTTATTTATTTTGCAAATAAAAGTGATACCGTGACGTCTAAGACTACGTAACAGAGATTTCTGCTGAATTGCATATATTTGCAGTTTTATAACGCACATGTTAGCTAACAACTAAATGGACTAAATCGGTTATGTCCGGAGAGAAATGCTCTTGCAAAAACAAACATGGACAGACAATGCAGAACCTAGCCGCACCGCCCCGGGACTCTCCCACGACTAACTCCTGATCGACAGTCTGTTCCATGAGGAGCGCTTCCTGGTCCGGAGGAAAACGCCACGGCCTGGAAAATTGTTAGGCACTGAGTGCCGGTTGGCTGAGCACTCCAGGCGATGGGTGTTATGTAGTCCGGGTTCCAGGATCGCCTAAAGCTAGACGAGGATTGGATATTTTCACTTGGAACACGCTATCCTCCTAACAATTTGCTCAACATGCGTCCAACGCGAACTTTCTAGCTGTGAGATGCTAATACTGAATCTTTGTATATATACGATAAAGGCGATTGTAAGCCATTTGCAACAGCGGATTTAATTTTGGGAATTTTTTTATTTTATTTATTATGACAGTAATTGGTAGGGAAAATAAAGAAAGCCACTAGTTGAAATGATGTTAAAGTGATCTTTAAAAAAACAAATTACGGAATATAAATGCTTTTATTTAATTAAAACTGAATTGAGACACATTTTTAAGGTTTTCTTGTAACCTAAATAAGTAAAAAAAAATCTGGTGTGTCCACTCACACGACTTTCCTACCTATTTCAGAAAAGTTTTTATATCTTTACATATGTTCATGAAGAAACAATAAAGAATTGAACTAGATACATTTTACTTAAAATAGATCAAATATAAGATTTGAGTACGATTTATTTGATAAACTAAAGCAATGTAAACCGGCTTAAGGTAGATCAGTGTAAAAATTTCAATACTTCCTAATATTGCTGATCAAAAACTTTTTGCCATAGCTTAGTATTGTCAAACAATAATTTCTGTTAAAAATAGAGGAAATAGTGAAGATTGTGTGATACAGGCTACAGATTTTATTACTTTCACTTAGTCATCTTTATTCTCTCATTCATCCCTTTCTGAAACCGTAATCTTACATTGGAAATTGAATAGCTGTAATTTCGTTGATAGTTGTCCAAAATGAACGATTTTTATATGGCTTTGTAGGGAATTTCATTACCTTTCAAACAACAGGCTAAACGGTGTGTCATCGGTAATACTGGTTCGATTCCGATGCTTTTTTTTTTGTTTTGTTGGTAATGTAATTACCTTTCAATAATTTTATTGAAATAATATATACTTAGGGAGTTATTCCCCATAAAATTTTTCTTTTCTTTATGACTTTTTTTCCTGATTTTTTGGGGGAATTTAGTCTATATACGAAAATTAAAAGAACATTATAAAAAAGTTTCATCAAAATCGTTAGAGTTGTTTTAGCGCTAAAGTCTATAGAAACACATGTTTTTCATTTATTGCTCCCAAGCTATTGCGCATGGAGCACCGAATTTCTGTCACAGCCATCAGTAGTCAAAACCCTACAAAATAAAAAAATAAGTAACAAAATCGATTGAGTAGTTACTGAGAAAATCTTGGCACAGACAGACAGACAGACCAACGGCTGAAAATGTGTTTTTCGGACTCAGGGGGCTCTGAAACGTATAGATCCGTCGAAAACCGCATGTCGGAAATTGACCCGATTGCAATACTTTCCTTACCTAGTATAGCTAGAAAAGTAAAAAAATCAACGTTATCAGCATAACAATTGAAAGAAATAGGTGATGCGATTTCTATGACCGCGACTGTAGATTGTAATAAATGCAATTCTGAAAGTCCACCATCTTTGTTTCTCTGGAAATAAAATAATATCTAAACATTCTGTTTATTGTTATTGTTTCTTTGAGTTTTTTTATAAATTTGAAAAGTCTTGAACCCAGCTTGAAGCTTCGTTGACTGAATCCAATAAAAATAATACCCCACGCCACGGCCTCTATAATTTTCCAACTCACTGTTCTACATTTCGAAACTTCAAATACGAAAATTGCGCTACACCTGTTAATTCAACAGCCTATGACTTGTCAGATTTTGATTGGTTTCGTTAGGAAATACACCTGTTAACTCCTAAGCCAACAGCTGTTCCATGTGTCCAATCTCAACAGTCATCGTCGGACATTTTCCTTCCAGCTGATTGTATTATGATGCAAACTCTGCAATCCCGTTGTGAAGTTTCCTCCTTTGTTGATGATGATGATGGTTAGTACTATTGTGGAGGCAGCGGTACCGGTAGTGCTCTGAAGAGAGCGCTTCTCATCTCGAATGGAAAACAGCTGTTTAGCATTCAGCCAGGACTTGGGCTGTATCCGAACTCTTTTTGAAGGTAATTTCTTCGCCGACGGTCGAGGAATACAAAGCAGTCCTTTCCAAGCCTCGTGTACAGTTTTTATTAGCGGTTAATTTATTGTTTGGTTTGACAATATTTCTTCAATATTATTCTAAACCAGTTAGCTGAAGAATTCGCATTGAATAGAGAACGAATATTATATTAAGAAAACGCAATGTATTATAAGGCCGGTTAATTAATGAATTAATTTTAATCTATATTAATGTTTGTTTGGTCGAAACCGCTAATCTTCAAAACTCTGCACCGATTGCTTTGAAGTATTTACATAACCTTTCTATCGTATCAGGAGTGTTTTTATATAAATTTAATTAATCTTCGGTCTTTCGTTTCCGAAAGGCGTCCCAAATACCTGTGTCGCTATATACTGTAACGCCAAAACGGCTGTAACGATTTTAATTAAAGTTGGCTAAAGTCTTCTCCTCGATACCTTTTTAATATTTAAAATTTCATGGGGAATAGATGGATAAGAAATTATTGAACGGGCTGGATTTAAAAGTTGGAAGGGTATTAGATTGACGAATGTGAGGAGGATGGAGTTCCAAAGGGATGAGGATCGGATAATTAACGATCTGTCGAAAGCAGCGCTTCAATGGGCCCTTATGTACAAATCAGGAGACCGGGAACGAGTATTGCGGGAACGAAGAGAGCATTTGAATTGAAGGAGCTCGGAGATGTATGAAAGACGGTGGGATTGGATAACATGAAAGAGGAAGGATGCCAGGAAATATTTACGACGGTAGGAAGGATAAAGCTATTTCAACTCTGCATTAAAATGGGAAACAGAGGCGTCCCTTAGTATCCCGAAGATGAATCGGAAGATGAAACTCTTTAGTTTCGCCTCGAGATCCCCAGAGACGCCCCCACATACCAAACAGCAATAGTAGCAAAGTAGAGAAAAATTAAGGAAGTGACTAGGAGCCTACGAATTTTGGGGAGGGCTTCAGCCCGAAAGCCTCTCATTTCCCTTCCCTTTTCCCGTAGATCCGCCTGTAGATAGAAGATAAGTTGGTTGGGTTGTTCAGTCAAAATACAAAGTAAACATCAGTAAATAATATTTATTTTTAATTTATATTTTGACTGAACACCCCAACCAACTTCTCTTGAATTATTCACTAAATTCAACCATCAATCAATTATTTCATTTATTTTATATTTATTTATTCATTTTGTATATAGGTATGCATGTGTTTTTTTTTTCTTCTTAGTTTTAATTTTCTTATTTTTTAGGTTATTTTATTTTATTGTCTATTGTATATACTTTTGATTATTATTTTGTTCTATTTATTTTATTTTTTTTGTACATATGGTGTGAATGTCATCTTACCTCACTATAACCAATGTCCAACAGACAGATTGTTATAATACTCAATAAAGAAATGATTGGATTTTTATTTATTCATGATGTTTACAACTGTATTAAATTAAAAATACATCTAGTAAATGTGTACACAGAAATAATATAATCACATGAAAACGCTTGCTGAGAAACTACCCATTGGTCGCACTCTAAATCCACTATTTAAAAATTTAATCTTTAACAAGAAGCTCCGAGTGTTTATTGTTTAACAGCCTTCATTCGTTAGGATGATAATTTATTTTTATTTTGTGTCTATCGATCTATAAGATCTCAAGGGTGGGAAACAAGAAATACGTAGCTTTAGGCCAGGAATTAATTAGCTAGTCTGTATAATGTTTTAATTTCTTTTTTTCTTTATTATTTTTTGTTCATCGACCTTCTCTTATCATTATTAATTAGTCATCTGATGATATTTACCTTTCTCTTTGATTACTTCGATTGGCGGAAGAGCCGGCGTTTTAAAAAGCACACAAAGGAAAGCCTCGATCAAAGAAGACTTACAAGAAGTATACTTGAAAAGGAAGGAAAAAAAAAAAAGAAAATATCTTTTTGTGCCTCCTCTTCTTGTTCCTTCGAATGCCGAGTCATCCTAGAGCAATCAGCCACTCATGGCCTGTTCTAGGTCATCCAGGTCTGCAAGGAATGGCGGCCTTCGGCGGCGAAAAGCAAACAGAGCGATCGGGATTACGTGCCTCGCAGTCAATGGGTCATTGTGTGTTTGGGTTTGCTTCACCCCTGAGTCATCGGACTCCCTGTTGCATGTACCAATTGGTATTCGACTGGGAAGTGTATTGTGTAAGTTGCGTAGTCAGGGTTAAGATATGTGTACTAAATTAATATAGTGCAGAAATATATGCCGTCCACACACATACACACATTATATATATATATATATATATATATATACATAAAAGAGAAAAAATATAAAACTAAATACGACAACATTAATTAATGCCAGTAATGAACTAGGGCTCGAAATAAACACGGATAAGACAAAATATATGGTGATATCGATATAGATGGTAATATGTTTTTTAACAGGTAGAGGAGTTTAGGTATCTAGAGTCTACGATAACCAGAAAAAACGAAATTGAAAAGGACATTAAGGTTTGGCTGAAGGCGGGAAATGCTTGTTATTTTTCTGTGACAAAACTACTTATCTCGCGCGTCTTGTTCCGGAACTTAAAAATTACAATCTATAAAATCATTGTCTTGCCTACAGTTCTTTATCGTTGGCCGCTTATATTAAGAGATGAGCGACGTCTTAAGGTTTTTGAAAATAAAGTATTGCGTACAATATTCGGGATGGATTAACCGGAGAGTTCAGACGATTACACAACGCCGAATTGAGTGAACTGTATTCGGTTAATATAATGTAGGTGATTTCATCTCGGCGAATCAAATGGGCTTGTAAAATTATTGGGTTTAGTAACGAAAGAATTCCTAAAAGGTTAATATTTGCTGTGCTGAATGGTAAGCGTCCGAGGGGTAGACCGAAGCGTATTTGGGATGATTGCATTAAAGCCGATCTAAAGGGACTAGGTGGATGGAGATGTGTAATAAGCGATTGGTGGTGTCGGTATCGAACCATTGCTAAGCCTTTTATTATTATTATACAAAGAGATACATACGACCGGCTCGATTTGAGATAAGAATACTAACGTATAGAGAATACAAATAAACAACTGCTTATCAAAAAAAATTGTTCTATATTTCACGATGTGAAGGCAAGGAGGTTAAGGATTAACTGGACGTATAGATCGAAGTAATCCACCAGGAAGCCTCTACACAACAATAAACATTTGAGTTGTTGGCAAAAGAAAATGTGGGTGGCCAAAAGCTAGATAGATGGAGAAAATAAAAAAAAATGCAACAAACTGAAAAGCATTGCCTAAAATAATGAGATGCGAAGTAGCCTGATTTAGGAGGCCCAAGATCTGTACAACTTTAAACGTATAAAAAGTATAAGTTGTTTCTTGGTTGGTTGTGCAAGGAGATGATTTGACCAAGTTCATACCCAACCACTAGAATTTTTCTCTTAATTAAATATTTAATTAAGAGTACTCACTTTATATTTTCCAAGTATATTTAGGAATTAATAATCAATAATCCGGTCATTTTAGTAATTATTTCTTAGTTTTTGAAAAAATTGGTAAAAATCAGTGATAGTTGACGGTGAAAGATGTGGAAAACGTACTTACCTACTGAATCGTTGAATTTCAAAAGATAAATGAATATAGATATAAAGTAAACAATATAAATATATTTGGTTAATTGCGAATGTTAATGATTTGATAAAATGGGGTCTTTATCACCGACTATAATGCAATATACGATGTCAGAATTTCAAGTTTTTCATAATTAAGTAATTGACTGTGTATGAAAGACAAAATCGATACAAGACTAAATTTTCTGACAATAAAACCGATTTGTGAATTTCCAGACTCAGAAGACACGTTAATTATACCCAGTTATAATTGGGACTAAACGGGAAAAATATAGATTTGCGTCTTCAGTAAATTTCACTAACCGGTACAGAACTCGTCTAGAGGGCAATCAACTCCAGACAGATCTGTACCAGTCTCTTCAGATCTTGATGACTATCTTCTTAATTGTTTAGAAGATACTTTCTTAAACGTTATCACTATAATGAGAGAACAATGGTAGATCCCTGTTTACATTGTGCGCTAGTGAGAGAGGTGGAGATCTTTGTCAAAGCTAATGGGTTAACCAGGAAACAAACTGAGCTCAAGTTGGAATTAGCTACAGTACACAGCTTGGGCTACCGTGAAATGAGAAATTATCAAACCTTCGTCTCAAGACAGCTTTCTTTAGTTTCGTCTTCTTTTATTTAAATTTTTTTTTTTTTTTTCGTCTTTTGTTAAGTAAGATATTGTTTGAGTTATTCTAAAAGAGTATTATTCTCTTATTTTTTACTTCCTAATTTTCTAAAAACTTTAAAATAATTTTTCTTTGAAGTAAATGACAAATAAATGTCTTCAGATATAAATTTGTTAATAATTTGTAATTGGTTGACTGTCGTGGATAAAGAAGAGAAGAATAGTTGGGGTGCTCAGTCAAAAAGGAAGGCAAAAAATAAATTATAATATTTATTTTTTACATATGCTGACGTTTTGACCTGAAGTTCAGGCCTTCATCAGGGCTAAGAAAATGACCAGATAACAAGGTATGAGAAACATAAGTAATGATGGTAAAAAAGATAATAAAAAATGAAAAAATAAAATAAAATTTAAAAAAAAAATATTAGAAAAATAAAAATAAATAAAATAAAAATAAATAAAAATTTTATTTTTCTAATATTTTTTTTTCATTTTTTATTATCTTTTTTTTATCTTTTTTACCATCATTACTTATGTTTCTCATACCTTGTTATCTGGTTATTTTCTTAGCCCTCATGAAGGCCTGAACTTCAGGTCGAAACGTCGGCATATGTAAAAAATAAATATTATAATTTATTTTTTGCCTTCCTTTTTGACTGAGCACCCCAACTATTCTTCTCTTCATAAATTTGTTAAATTTTGGATTTTGGCTTATAATAAAAAAAAAGAGAAAAAAATTG